GAATTCTATTTTAAATAATTTAATTGAGAAATACAAAAAAAAAAAAAACATTTTAAACTTGTATCTTTTCCAATTGGAATTTATAAAAATACGAGATTTTTTCTTGATTTCAAACGATAATTTTGAGAATAATAAATTAAACATGTGATTCAAAGATCCCACTTAACAATAAAATAAAATCTGTTTTCATAATTGTTATCGGTGTACAACTCATGTCGGTAAATGTTGAAACTTGTTTAGATCTACGATTTACAATATATTTTCGTCACGAAATAATTTCGATTTTAGGCGTATTGTGACACACGTATGCGAGAGCTTAATCCTTCCGCGCGCTGGATTTAAAATAGACTTCATAATTAATTCAAATATGTTTTCAAAATTCTTGTCAGAGTGAAACCTAAGTCAGTAAGTTGGAACGCGTCTATTTTGTTCCAAAAAAACGGTATATTATAGTGATTTTAGGCAGCGAATTGTATAACTTATAGTTGCTACCGAGAGGATTCGTACGCGAATGCTTCAGACTAGTCGTCCGGGTTCGTTCTCACCGTTCACTAGCCTTCGTTCTGGTCGCAATCTGAAGCAATTCGATATGACGGGCTGAATGTCATTCACACCGAATTGCGTTTTATTTGATCTTGCCTGCACATTTACCGCCACTGGTCGCGAGCGAATTCGCGTTCGCAGCCTAATGTAAACGCATCTTATATTTATAGGAGGTCTCCATTAAATCTTTCCGATAAAGGAAGTACCTAAATATTTATTTCGATCACTGATAGTGCAATAAATTTATAAAGCATATTATTATGTAAAGGTGTAAGTCGAAATACTTAAGCCATATATACCCTCCATCGTAACTGTATATATACAAGCTCCTCTGACCTCTGCTATATACACTATACAGTATTGCGGTGTCTAAACTACAACCACCCCAGCCTACTGTGCGCGGGCCCTTCCCCCTCAGTAAAAAAAAATGTAATAAATGTTTACACAGGACAAAAGGCCGAACGCAATTCTTTTCTTTTTCAGACAATTCCTACACAAAACACGACCCTCGGCCGCCAAGATGACTGCCACATGGCACTGCATTATGTATAGTACTATGTTTATAATATACAAGCGCGTTTATATATAGGAGGCGTCCGGCGTTAAGTCCCGCCACGAGGAGAATTATTATTATTTATGAGTTGTCCACGCGGAAAGAGTGTATAGTATAAACGGATTTTTCAATACATTTGCAAACAAAAAAAAGTAATAATAATAATAATAATAATAATAATAATAATGATATTTTGTGCGGCGGTGGCGACAGACGACTGTGGCAGCCTATAGGCGACGAAGCGCGTCACGGGCACCTATATGATTAGGTTATGGTATGGAACCTATTTATAAATATTTTCGGGAGGTTGAAGAAAAATATTTTTTATTTTTGCTAACGCGTCAGTTTTTTAATGTGAATTTCGTTTGCTTATTGCTGTCGTTAAGGTGATTATATTATATACATTACATGTTGTAAATTACTATAAACTGTACACCGTGAACATAGGTGTAATAATATATATTATTTTAACCCAAACCTTACCTGCAGCAGTTGCAAGCGAGCTGACAAATGGCAAAAAAAGTTTCGGTAATCGTTAGGTTATCACATTGAGGTTTCAAGTTTTAAACAAGTCTTTTCTACCTTATGTCTTTATATTATATTTAATAAGTCTAGAAGTAACAATTAGTGTTGTATAGGTATAATGTATATGTTACCGTAAAGGCCCGATCACTAGGTAAACCTAGGTTTTACTGTTTGTACTCAGTAAATGCTGAAATTCTAAATTTTATTCGGGCTTTTACTAAACACGTTGTGTACATCCTAGGATATACAAATTGACTTAGTAAAAGCTGATCAATACACGACACGCATAACATTTAAGCTGCTTAAAAATTATAATTATATATTATTAAAACAAACTACTGACAGTTATTTAAATTCTTAATACAAAATAAATATCATTTCAAAACAGAATCATTAAAAATTAATAAAAAAATTTTTTTTTCTTCATAGAAATTATAATTGTTATTAATCGTTGCAAGCAAAAATGTTTGAGGTGTGATTACAACTTAAGATGCATTTTTATTTTGTATAAAGAATTGTCAGTAGTTTGTTTTAATAATATATAATTATAATTTTTACGCAGCTTAAATGTTATGTGTCGTGTATTGATCAGCTTTTATTAATTCAATTTGTATATCCTAGGATGTACACAACGTGTTTAGTAAAAGCCCGAATAAAATTTAGAATTTCAGCATTTACAGAGTACAAACAGTAAAAACCTAGCATTAACTAGTAAATCCTAGGTTTACCTAGTGATCGGGCATTTACGGTAACATATATACAGATGATCCAACAAGTATGCTCACAAGATTTTTGTACCACTTAAAGAGTGTCCTGTGGCGATAAAAACTTTTGTTTTTTAAATGGGAACTCCACTTTTTACTGTAAATTATTTAGCGGATAATTTTTTTGAGAATTTTGATGTATTGAAATAAAAATTCGAACGTGTAGTTTTCTAGTGATTATACACAATTTTTGCTAAAGATAATATAGTTTAAAATAGGGAAGAAGGATATGCTTATACAGTATACGTTGTTATCTATAGTCTAAACACTCTAAACACATAATATAAAATAATACGTCATTTTATATTTATTTAGTCAAACACTTAGGTAAATAGCAAGTAAAATCCTTCTTGATTTATTTAGTTATTTTTCTTATTCCATCATGCGTAGAACTGTTAAAGCATATCCCTATTATGGACTATTCACTATTATCCTTAGTACAACTTGTCCAATAACTAGGAAACCACTAGTTTGAATTTTGATTTCGATACATCAAAATTCTCGAAAAAATTATCCGCTAAATAATTGAAAGAAAAAAAGTTAGGTTCTCATTTGAAAAACAAAGGTTCGTATCGCCACAGGACACTCCTTAAGTGGCATAAAAAATCTCAAGAATATGAAAATATGGTCTTTGAGTATATTTAAAGATTCCAAAAATCAGATTTTGAAAAACTTCATTATTAAAGAAAAAGGGGGATGAGCATACTTGTTGGATCACTCTGTATGTAACTACTAAACTACATAAATATCTATTTTTTTTAAATATACGTTCTATGTGTGCCTAGATCGAAACATGCTAGCTCTTCTCGTATATCGCATGGTTTATTGGATCTTAAAAAACAATTGTATATATTTAGGTATAATAATATAGTCGCCATAAACTAATTAACATTAAAGTCTCATATCATTTTTCTACAGAATTTAATAATTAATCGAAAATGTTTTGAAACAACTAAAGAAATATAATAATAAATACGTAATGATGTATACGTGACGTGTAACCGTGAGTACCTACTATGTATATCTTGATTATCATATAACTAGAACACGGATGTTGTAGTAATAAAAAACTATACAGATAGGTAGTAAAATTGATTGTAGTATTGAATTAAAAAATAACAAAAATGTTACAAAAAATAACAAGTTCGTATTATTAATTTATTAATTTTTACTTTACAGTTAACAAATACCTACGAGTTTATCTTGAATAAATATTTCATTGCTATTTGACATTTATTATTTTTTCGTTTTAAACTAATGTTTAAATTCTACAAAAACATATTTTAATTTAATTAAAATCATTACACTGAACAATAGTACATAAATCATGTGAGTATTTCATACTTATTCACAATTTAATAATTTTATTTCACTGCATTTTTATAAAACTGATCAAAAATAATTAGAAAGGTACAATTAATGTGTTAAACTCGTTAAAGAAATTAAAAAGTAGTTGAAATTGTTTCATAAATGAGAAAAACCAACAACAATTCAATTAAATTGTAAAAACTGCGATATGTTGCACAAAACAATAATTGTAGATTTTAATTTGTAAGTACTTGCATAAATTAAATTAATAACTTAATCAGCAACAATACCGAACAAAGGTAAAAGTGGCAAATGCAACGCAACATCCATGATGGCCTTAGTCGTAATATAATGTAGGTACGTACACGTAAAATGTAAATAAGGATGCGGAACGGTTTATATGAAGGATTAACCCACCCTGAGCCTTATAATTCCTTAAATAAGATGTTTTATTCAATTAAGCCTATAATAAATTTAGGTTATAATTATTTCATGAATTTATTATTATGCGAATACATAATAATATAATATGTTCTGTATATTCAATATGATACATATAGCTTTACATTACAGTGACATTAATAGCATTGTGTATATACTGTTGTAGTGAGGTGGCTTTGTACTTTTGTGGGATTGAAAAATTTTCCTTTATATCTAAAAGCCATCGGTCCCAGTATTATAGGCCTACATATTTTTAAGTATTGTTATTCGAGGATAATGTATGTATTATTTGTTGAATAGGATTAAATTCGGATAAACCTTAGTATAATATATTGTATTAGTAATCAGATATGATATTGATACTGACACGTTCCATCGAGCTTGACCAGTTTCACACGTTCATTTTCAACGCAATTCTTTTGATAAAAAAAGTCAAATTTTTTTTTTTAAAACACTAAAAAACTACGCAATCATTGGCGCGCATTATGACAGCTTTGCCCGCTGTAACTCAATCATTATAATAATATTATAGGTGGCAGACACGATGTGAGGCAGGTACCTCTCGTACACATTCGTTTCGAACGGGCTCGCATACCTCTGCGGCCGAAAACATATCATTATTGTATTCGTCCATTCATAGCGACCAACAAGGTCACGGAGATGCACTGACGAGTAACGACGTCGAGTCTCGAAGTCTGGACAATGTCGCGGACAATCTCCACTAACGTCATCAAAAGTACCGCGGCAGGCTGCATCAGTGCAGCTGCGACTGGTCGGGAGGAACATACCGGGTTCCCCCGGAATGTGTTCTTCGGCGCGCAGGCCTGCAGTGAAGCCAACAAACTAGCGTAAGGGATGAAACGAGTCTTTTCGTTCCGTCGCGTTGGCAACCGTATGTGCGCGCGCTCACTAGACCGTCCACGGCGGAGACTCGGAGATCGCGCGCGTACCGGTTCGTTCGGTTGGCAGCAAGTGGTGGGCACCCAGACCGACGAAGACGACGACGACCGGCTCGGCGCGCACGGCTGGGATGACGAACAGCGGCGCAGCGGCGGCTGAGAAACCGATTCGTTTGTGGTCGTTGCCCGTCGGGACGTCAGTATACGTGCGGGACCGGTTGCCGAGCGGGTCGTTAGTGTGCTCGCGAGTTTTGTGTATATTGCGTGTGCATTTTTACGAACATTTTTCGTTTTTTTTTTTCAAGAATTCATTTCGAGGTGTAGTGTTTTTTTTTTACGTTAGTTATTATATCATCACCCATTCGTCGGAATACCACTGCAGGTAAGTGTTGCAGTTTCTGCCTTTTGATAATAGTATACAATAGTTATAACATGAACCGGGGGCCGAGCTGACATTTGAGTATGTTATAATATAAATAAAAAGCGCGTCCCCCTGTGTTTAACGACCCGAGCAATAAAGGTACACCCGATCGTTATATTTAAGTGTGTTTGTGTCGGCGAATATTATTCCAAACGAAATTCGATAATAGCACAGTATATTATAATATGTATAGGGATCTGTGTGAGATGTTATCAGCTGTGCAATATGTGTATTATAGGTACAAACATTGTTTCCGATAATTTCAATAACAAAAATTCATTTTTTAAAATTTTTTTTCAAAATTACAAGCAGATTAATAATGATAAATGATAATGGATTACTTATAGTGTTTGAGCATATTTCTACTCAATTATATTATATGTTTATTTCCTAATATTCTATAGAGTATATACACCATTATCATCGACATCAATTGTTTATTTATTTTTGATATTGCGTATGGAAAAAAACCTTATTTTATAATATTGTCAAGTTTTTTTATGAAAATCCACCCATGTATACGTAGACTTATATACTATAGGGCTACCAGATGGTAGTTATTCGAAAAGATGATTTTTTTCTAAGTACATAAATATATAATTATTGTAATTAGTATTAGTACAGTTTTGTCTAAGTAACGATTAATATTTTTTACACCGATTTTGGGACTTGTAATTCATTGCTGTAAAATGTGACTTATAATTCCACTATAGGTACATATTAGAAATTGGAATCAAATATTCAAATTTAAAAGTTTGAACAAGAGTACATTATGTCCTGACGATGGTAATCTTACCTATATATATAATATTAAATACCTACCTAACTATGTATATACAAGTACCTACATCATGATGTTATTGAATGTAAACTAGCTTTTATTTCATTTAATAATGGGTTTAATCGTTCACTATAGTTTTTATTCATTCAATTTTGTATGAATGATCCTGTGTGTTTATATAGGTATCTATTCGGAATTTTTATATCAATGTCCTCAATTTACCCTATAGACAAGTAACACTATTATCTATAGATTTGAATAGTACCAACTTTTGTTTGTTGAAAATGTTGATGTTGATGGATCGACTAACAGATGCATGGCAAATAAATAAATTAAAACTATTTAAAGTTAAGATAAAGCAGAGGATAAATCTGAATATATGAATAATAAATAGAAAACATATTTTAACCATACCTTATCTTCTATCATTTTACGTGTCGAACCTTTTACTGATTAAAATTAAAAATTGTTTTCTTGTTTTAGGCATATTTTGATTTTGTTTTTTTATACTTAGGTGATTTCGCAATTTTTTTATTTAATTAATAACAGAACAATTTTTAATATTATTATATAAGACTTTAATTTATAGGTAAAGGTTAATTAATTACATTTACCTAAATTATATAATATAGCCAATATATAGGTATATGCGTGTAATATGTATAGGTACCTAGTGTATAGTTATAAGTAACAAATATAGAATATTTTACATTATTTTTACAAATTTCAATAATTATTTTGTGGTACCTACGTTCAATTTTAGAATTACTGTAGGGAGATAGCCTTAATTGTTTATGTGGAACATATTTTTTTCTTCAAAATATATGACGTAACTCAACTGATTGTTTTCATAGAAATCGAATATTATTTTTTAAACCGTCATTATTTTTTATTTTTTGTAGGAAAAAGAATAGCACGAACATATTTTTGTTAATCATTATCATTTGTTTTAATTTTTACACGATACCAGAATATATGTTTAGATAGGTACTGATTTATTGTTTTTTGTTAATGTAGTACTCGAGTACTAATTGTATTTATGATCTTGATACTGCAGTTATAATTTATAAAAATATCTGACCGATTGGCTTAGGTAAGCATATTTTGTATTGGTTTTAAACGATATGGTTTATGTATAGTGTACCTATATACATAATACATATATTACATAATTAGTAAGCTACAAGTATCATATACATAAAATATAATAATTTATAATATACCTATAACTCAACTGCATAAGTATATTTTACTGTATAGTGTAAACGTGATAGGTGTCTTTAACGTATCAATGCCTACTTAAATTTATATTGATTCAAATTAATTTTTTATTTAAGTTTATACTTTTTTAGTACATACATATTGGGAGAAACTTTTAACGCTAAATAATATAATAAGCATAAAAAGTTTATATTGTTTTATGCAGTAGTTAGATGAGTTTTTATTATCTCATGTATAACACAACACTATTTTAATAATATTTTTGTTTAGACGTATTAAGTTAAAACGTTGGCATAGGTAATACTGTAATTGTTAAAAAAAGCAAAGATTTTCCTCTAAAATGATTTTAGTTATTTCGGTCCTATTATAGTGACTTCACACAGTTAATGTACATTGTACAACTGAAATTTGGTATGAAATAATTCCGTCTTCCCTTAATTTTTTCATCGCATTTACAAACTGGATAATTTAGTTAGGTATTCAAAGTTTTTTTGCATGATTTCAAAGGTATTTAATCACGAAATATTGAAATAATAAACGTTTGTGATTTGTCAGTTATAAATAAGACACATATACTATGAGTAAATGAGACTACTAGGTACTTATGTACCTTATTCTTAAACATCAATCATAATAATATTAATCTAGGCATTCAATTTATATAAAATTTAATCTCATTATGTTTAGTTATAATATTATACGTCTTATAATTCTAGTAGACAATGTATAGGAAATCAATTTTATTATTCGAAATAATTGTTTGGTTGTTATCATACCATAATAGATATTAATTATGCTATTAACTGCATAGTATATAGCGTATATTTAGTATATAGCTGCGTATGATGTAATAGTGAAGTAGGTATTAGTGGTTGGATCACTTCAAAAAAGTGCACGTGACACTATAATAGGTACTGTGGTGGGGATGGTTGTTCAAGTATACTATACGCTATTATATATAAGTTTTTACTCACATAGTCGGATGAATGTAAATTTGTTGTATGTCTACAATAATGAAAAAATGTATTCTTGTGTTTGTAATCGTGATACTAGACGTTTCATAACTTTTTCACTTATTGTAAAATATGTTTCTCCATTCATAGAAGGATCAACGGAAAATCACGGTTTCAAGTACAAATGCCATTGCTCGTTTATAACGATGTCATAGCCAATCGACTCAATTTTCCCTTTAGAATTTTTTGAATAACCTGTTTTTTATAGGTTTACTTATTTTATTCAATATTTCATTGATATAACTTAATAAATCAAACTCAAACCATATACATATACTGCGTATGTATGTTATGGTTTTGTCATACAAACATTCGTCAAATATTAATACATCGTATTTATATTAGTTTATACTGAGTAGCATATTATTTAAATATTATCTATAATACTATCTTTGGTATATTTGATCATATTGACTTTTATTTATTGAAGAAAAAAGATATAATCATAGTTTATATTTCTAAACACTGTTTATCTTAGATCAAATATTCAAATTGAACGATTAATATGTATTTACTGAAAATGTCCGTTAAATAATAGAAATTTTAAATTTTAAAATTTTTCTCATTAATGGCTTTTATGACGATCTATATTGAAAAACTATAATTTTAGATTTTTAAACTTTTTGCCATTACGTACTTATATTACTAGTTGTTGTACGCACAATAACATTTTCGAAATATTTAGACTAATTTTAAGTCAAATTGTTTTTTTTTATTTATACCACAATATTATTCACACCGCTATAAGGTCCACCGGCATTAACTTATAGGTAAATAATATTAGTATACTATAATATTATAACTAGAACTACCAACTACCTATATTACACTCGAAAATTAGTTCAACTTATTATACCGTATTACTAATTACTATATAAGTATATTATAGTAATATTATAGTAGTAGTAGACTGTCTACGTGTATCATGTAATAGAAAAATAAATTAATCACTAGTTAGGTACTACCTATATTAATATAAATAAGTTGAAAAATATTTTTAGGAATAGAAAATCAGTCTTTCACACTACAATTTCCACTTAAAATCGTTTTTCATATGCAATGATTTATTTTCGATTTCAAATTTTACACGTCCGTTACAGTGATGAGGTATACTCAAAACGTACGATATATCAGAGCGACTTTGTCTGTATATTTTTATTAACATAGTGGCCACTTATGTTGTTCGAATAGTTTAGGATTTAAGTTTTTTTTAAGAGTAGGTATTATTTCTAATATTAGTAATTTCATGACACTGCAGTTGCCACACGAAAACTGAATGTATATTGACCGCAATGATGGCGAATCGATTATAATTATGATATTGAAGTATATAGTTTCGTTTCCAGTTGAAAAGAGTTCACAATTAACACGTATTCTAAATATAGCCGTAGGGATGCAATTGAGGAATCCAACAGTATATATTGAGTATTTGGTTCTTGTATAGGAAGTTTGTAATAATATCCGAGCGTACCACACGTCATAAAATGTGCATGTCTATTTCTTACGCCTTCTTAAAAATAACTATTTAAAAAGATAATTTTATGACTTTTCGCTCTAAACTTAAAATATTTTTGTGAAGAAAATTAACCCATTCAAATTGCGTTGGTCAGTATAAGTATTTTTGGTACATAAAATAATTTAATTGTACTTTTTTCTATATCATGACATAAGTAGTATGTGTAAATATACACAAACTATACTTTTTAGTTCTCGTATCACATTTCATAATCAATATCATTTACTATTTTCATATTAATTCGAAACTAGTTTATTCCTAAAAAACACGATGCATTTTAGACTAGTAGTTATTTACGAATACAGACTTTGGTATTGAACTATCGTAAATATTTAAAAAAAAAACACATAAAATTACATTATTTCATGTTTTAAAATATGTTTAACATATTTATGATTGAAAGATAATTATTTTTTTTTAAACAAGGACT